CACTCAATTTCATCCCTCCCTCCAGGAAATGGAGTCAGGTTTGCCATTTTTGTGGGAGTATGCATGACTGTACATTGCAGGATCTTCTCATTTTCTCTTCGTTTTATACTCCACTTTTATGTTTCTGAGGAGATATTCTCTGTTTTCTCATGTTTTGTCATTATATGATGCATGTGGTATTAGTGCTGTCTGCATGCATCTATAGCTCATTATTTCAATCAGTCTAGGCCAACAAAACCATGAGATACTAAGTCAAGACAAATTTGTATGAAACTGCTTTTGAAACAACTGTCATAGTTATCTGTCATAGGAATAACATCAGACAGAAGATGGCATCACAAAATCTACTTTTGACTGTTCTTCAAAACCCGTCTTCTGAACCTGTATGGTTTTACTGGTCTCCAAGATAAGAGGGTTAACTGCCGGTTTCTAGTCTCATAACTAAAGGAAAGTGTTTATGAAATCAGATAAGGACATTTTAATTAAATGCTTTGAAGGTAGGTCAAAAATGATTTATCATGCAGGGAAGGAGAAAGAGGAGATAACTACCTGTTGTTGCTAGGATGGCTGTTCTGCAACGCCAGCACTTATGCAAACTGACTCCATCTAGCACACATAAGATATTCATCCTGTCCATAAGTCAGTAACATTACCCTCCAAACATGATGAAAGTAGCAGCAAAACTTGGTAAGCTGGCAACAAATAAATATCTTAGACTATGTTATTGGTGTAAACTTGCAGTTCCTGCTGTGGGTATAGGGACAGGCAGAGATAGCAGAGGAGTGCTCAGCTCAGGCGGTGTGTGGTGTAGCAGGTTATGAAGTGCTCAAAGAGAGCTCATTTGAACTGCAATGTTCCGCTTTCCTGCCTCCCTCCTCACTCCTCCCCATCATGATTAAGGTCTTAAACCCCTCATCAATCGTCAGCCTCTTCACTGCAGCAGCCATAACCCAACACCGGCAGCATGCTCCGTTCTCCTCTCTGGCCAATAGACAGCGCTATGTCACTGTGCTGAAACATGCTAGCATTTGACCTTCACTGCATTATCCCAGCTCTGCTCTGCCTCCTCAACTGACCTCAAGGGATTACCCCCAGCCTGGCCATCATATTTAAAGGATATCTAAAAGCTGGGTCCAAAACCTCATTTCATTGGTAATTTCCCCCCATTTCTGCAAGGTCAACTCATTAGAGCTGCAACCTTTGGCGCTTGTCCACTGTCACCTCCTACTTGTCACGGTTACTTTACTCACGGTTATCTCTCTGCTGAGGCCATCTCCGGTATTCTTTGAAACAACTAATTCATCTCTTTTCTCTCTGATGGCTCTCGGGGATAAAAAATACATAGACTTCACATAAAGACAAGTTGCCCTCCACTTCTCTCTCTCTCCCCTCAATCGTCCACCCAAAGTCTCCCGCCCCGCCCCGTCCACAGTCTATCCCCTTCCTGCTGCTACCATCAGTACTAAAGCGTACTCTGTCCATGGGTCATTGAGCATTGATCAGCTTCAAGGTAAATGGAGTGTAAAATGCTTGGCTCTGGCTGTGGCCTTTCAGTCACATCACACACCTAATGATGAGAATCATCCTGAGGAAACAGTGACAAGAGCCATGATGTCTCGACACCTTCAGAAAACACCATGTTCCCTACACTGGGATTAATACAGCACAGTCCAAGGGGGCTATAAAGGAGGGTAATGTAAATGTGAACATAATATTTTTTTCAGTAACTCATTATGAAATACTGTAATCAAACTGTTATATGAAATTTTAATTATAGTATATCAGACCATCAATGTGCACTGTTCTTTAAATTTTTTAAAACATTTTTGTTGCCTTGTGGTACCAATAGCTAAACATTCCCTTCCTCAAGGTTTACATTTACATTTTAGTCATTTAGCAGACGCTCTTCTCCAGAGCGACTTACGGTAGTGAGTGCATACATTTTCATACTAGTCCCCCATGGGAATCAAACCCACAACCCTGGCGTTGCAAGCGCCATGCTCTACCAACTGAGCTACATGGGACTCAACTGAGCTACGTTCTCAATCCAGTGTGGAAACTGTTGATAAATGAGGCTCTGAGTCTGTTGTTTCCTATAGGAGCTTAGCTTGGGTAACAACCTCAGAAGTGACATGTCTGTTTCCTTCCAATTAGGACCTAATCTGGCACTAATAGTCTCTGTGCACTGCATATGATGTGTAAAATCTCATAAGTCGCCCTAATGGCTTTTTTTTCCAATTACAACCAGTCCGTAATTTGTGCACTCATCCATGGAGGAGGTGTTGGGAGAGGAAGAGGGCAGAATTGTTTACCAGTGGAGCCACAATCACAGGCAGGAGGAGAGGAGTGTATGGTACCGTGGTGCTCTACCAGGGGAAATCTCCATTACTTTGTGTGGGAGCTCAGGACGCATGCAGCCGGGTGAATTGTAAAGTCATTGAATGCAGACAGCAGGAAGCAGCAGGCCTCAAGCATGACAGGATTATTATAGGAAGAGGCATCTTATCACACATAACTATGTCAGAGTCACACAACTGTCTTTGAAACTTCTGCAATCCTCCCCATCCCTGCTCGTTCATACACAGAGAACGACTGGATCTCTCAAAATATGAAGAGAAGCCAGATCAACAAATGTTCCCGTCACTTTCCCTTCCAAGCCAGATGCACCTAGGAAACATTGTAGATGTGAATTCAGAGATTAAGGTGAATAGTATTTTTGTGATGACTAGGCAGAAGATTGGAAAACTACTTTTCAACTTCTTGCTAAAAAAGATGAGAAAACTTTGAGTATCTCGCCATTCTAACATGAAGGAACTTTTAATTTGAAAGAAAAAGTACAGTATTTGTAAGTTTGACCAGATAATTCATATTGAAGCTTTTAAAATACATTTTTGTTGAAGTAGGCAAATTATTCTGTACATAAACGTTAATATGAAATTGATCACATAATAATATCTCACCTTATTCAAAACATGCAGATAGGCAAAACATGGTGCCAGTCTGGCTCAGCATTGAATAATTATGGATTTATCATTGGGGTGTTATAGAGACTAAACACAACCTTGAATGATTCACATTACTCAGCGTAAGCAAGAGGAGAGCGAGAGAGAGAGGTAGAGAAAGAGTGAGAGGAGGGAGAGAGAGAGAGAGAAAGGTAGACATTGAGAGAGAGAAAGGTAGAGAGTGAGAGTGAGAGTGAGAGTGAGAGTGAGAGGAGAGAGAGAGGTAGAGAGAGAGTGAGCGTGAGAGAGGAGCACTTTCTCCCAAAGCCCCAGTGTTTGTCATCACGGCGTAATGTTCCAAACAACCCCCATAGCTACAGAGTGCTCCATCACTAATACTTAATGAATAATTCACATCACTGTGGTCTGCCATGTTTGCTATTGTTTAACATTGGGAGAGCTGAGAAAGATAAAGGATTGTTTGCGGAAACCTTGCGCACATTGAGAGAAGAAAACATTCTCAAGCCTGCATTACATCAATGCTTTAACTTGAATGTAAGTGTACAGAGAATGGAAAATGAGAGGCAGTTACTACTATTATATGAATGTATAGTGTATAGTAGTGCATTTCCTGTATAAACTGCAGAAATTGAAATATCAGGGTCATGACTATCTGAAGGCAGTTGAATAACGTTATTCACAACCTGGAAAACAAGATGAAGTATAATACAATGCCATATAAATGTACTTTTCAGAACACAGTCAGTGACAGCTTATAATGCTATATCATAGCTATAGCTCTTTGCTCTGGCTAGATGTACATGAGATACATGATGATACAGAATGTGGGGCTGAGAGCAAATCTAAGACTAGATTACACTGAAAGAACAGTGAGCTGGAATGAGGGGAAGTGGGGGGCTATGTAAGATCATCATAAATTCATACTGTAACTGTATGCATCCTGCTCAGAGTCTGTCTAAGCTCACATCCTGATTACACTACAGACACTCTACAACCTCTTCATGTCTCAACCTAACATCCTGACTCGTAAGGTCACATTGTAATCAAATGTCCAAATCAAATGATAACTCTAAATAAAGTTGATTAAATTCATTAAAAGCAACAGAAACAACACACTGACCAGGTGAAGAAAATAGTAACACAAATGAAAGATTATCAAAATATCTATAGGATTCACTCACCATTACAACACACCAAGAAACTAAAATAATCTAAATAGGAAATGAAATAAGTTAACATATTTTTGTGACATAGAAATTTACAGTATATACATTCAATTTTAAATTAAGATGACTGTGTTGATTGTTTGCTCTGTCTTTCCTATGAGTTCCACATCTCACTGAAAAGCTGTTTCCTCTCAGTAGCCAATCGCCTTGTCGGATCCAGAGTCAGAGAATAGATCCAGCCAATCGGAGTGCAGTAAGGCTTTCTTCAAAAAGTCCCTGCCAATTGTCTGACTTGCCAATAACAAGCAGTCATCTCCAACAGGTGACATACTGTACCCTTAGCAAGAAACATGGCAGATATCCACACTTTGAAAATAAAAATAAATTAAAAATATATATAATATATATTTATAAAATGAAAAAAAAAATCACCTGGGGAGTTTGATCTTCTGTCAAGCTGTCAGGATACCAAAACCAAACAATTTCCCCAGGGTTTTCAGCTTTTTACTTTTTTTTCCCGGTGTACTTTTTTTCATTTTTTCATTTTCTACCATTTTTTTAAATTTATTTTTTTGGTGATACTTTAAGTAGGCTGTTTTTACCAAAAAAAGAAAGAATGTCCTCTTCATACAGTATTCAGTAACTGTACAATTTTAAATGCAGGTAAACAAAATGTAAAAGTGCTTTTTTAAATACTGTTATCCAGTGTATCGAAAGGAGTAGCAGGCACTTAAGTCCATCCCCATTTTGTAGGTGTTTGACAGTGGAGCAATAAGGTACTCGTTGTTTGGGTTATTCCTAGGGTTTTGTTCATCTGTTGGGTAGAGACAGACAGAAAAACAGACAGATAGACAAACCCCAACGTACACTAGCCCAGGATGTCCAGGTAGACAGGTGTGGCTTTGCCCAAGGCATAGAGGATTTTCTGAATATCCTTGATGTTAAGCCTCTGCTGGGGCTCCCTCTGCCAGCAACCCAACATGATGTCATACACCTCCTTGGGACAAACTCGTGGCCTCTCCAAAACCCGTCCTTGCGTAATACACTCAATGACCTGGGGCAAGAGAGAGAGAGAGAGAGAGAGAGAGAGAGAGAGAGAGAGAGAGAGAGAGAGAGAGAGAGAGAGAGAGAGAGAGAGAGAGAGAGAGAGAGAACAACAGATGTCAGCACACAGTGTTATAGACCTGGACTAACGGCTCAAAGGGATTTGAAGGTTAAATCACAACTAAAAAATAAAAAAATAAAACTATTGTGAAAGAAACTGTAAAAATATTTAGAGAAAGAAAGAGGTCACAACCCAATTTATTAGTATTATACTGTTTTCCAAGAGCACAACGAGCCATTTACAGGCAGAATTATGTTTTGCTTAATCACCTTTATTAGCATCCCCCAGGCTATAGCACCACAATATGTGTACTGTTGTAATTACATGGGTGCAATGTCCAGGTCATAAGGCACGTTTAAAAGTGAGAGGTTTTGCAATACACATAAACAAACACACAGATGCAGTGTTGTCAAACCTGCCTGTTGATGTAAATAGGGACATCATACATGTGATCCCTCTGGGTTATGGGGGGAATTAGGAGTGTATGAGCTGTATAGGTTGTTATCAATACATGTCACAATAAGGTGCAGAACGTTCAATTGGTCTCCTGGGGGGCAGGGCTATGAACATAAGGAGAAGGAACAGCCAGATTCATCATAATACCCCCCGGAACTAAAGCCTTAAGCCACACTGCTAGCCAAATTTGAAATGGAATTACAATGAAGCAGGGTGGAAAAAATTGCATTAAAACACAATTTAAATGTATTTTCAGAAGGGCTGTGGTCACCACTTAAGTAATACATTAAATACATTCACCACATGGTAGTTGGGAGCTATTTCATAGTTTTTTCAAGGGTCCATTATTTTCCAATTTCCATCTTACAGCAACCTAGCACAAGAAAGTACTGTTTAGTCGAGCCTTCTCTCTTTGGAGAGCGAGAGCTAATAGCAACCTTATGCTTGGCATGATTGTATATAGCCCTTGTGTGAAGGAGAACAATGGCAGCGCAGACAGCCATATTCCTCCTAATATTTGTTTTTTTGCAATCTGGAATAAAAATTTAAGAGGACCAGTGCTCCTATAGCACAAAAAAATATCACATCTGTCACGCCCTGACTCTGGGGACTCGTATTTGTTGAGTCAGGGTGTGTATTTTCTGTGTGGTATGTTCATTGTTGTATTTTCTAGGTTTAGATCTAGATCGTCTAGATCTATGTTGGCCGGTGTGGTTCCCAATCAGAGGCAGCTGTCGCTCGTTGTCTCTGATTGGGGACCATACTTAGGTAGCCTATTGGCACTAGTGGGTTGTGAGATCTTGTTCCCTGTTAAGGTATGTTGTGTTGTGCTGCCTTGGACTTCACGTTTCGTTTTGTTTGTTATTTTGTCGTTGTGTTTGATATTTAATAAACATGTACGCATATCACGCTGCGCCTTGGTCTGACCCGTCTGTAAGCGAACGTGACAGAAGATCCCACCAAACGAGGACCAAGCAGTGTGCCCAGGAAGAGCGAATAGCGATGTCACAGGTGGGCAAATGGTGGTCACGGGAGGAGATATTTGCGGGGAAAGGGCCATGGGTGAAGGTAGATACCCAGGCAGAAGAGGAGCAACAGCAACGCAGAGGACGCCGGTCGAGGAGGAAGCCCGAGAGACAGCCCCAAGAAAAACATTTTTGGGGGGGCTAAAGGGGTGGTCGGGGAGCGAGAGAAAAGAGCCCCGACCACTGCACCCGGTCGGTTTTCAGATTGGGTCCCTACGACCATGGGAAGAGGAGTGGGAACAGTATTATACTGAGGAGTCGGAGGATGACGACGACGATGAGGTTCTGTTCCCTAACTCGTGGGGGCTCCTGGAGGAATCCTCACGGGAGGAGGAGTGCCGACGACGGAGACCCGAGAGGCAACCCCAAGAACATTTTTTTTTGGGGGGGGGGGGGGGGGGGGGGGGGGGGGCACACGGTGTGGACGACGAGGCAGCAGGAGGCCGTTGAAGGGCGGGTCTGCAGGTTAGGAGAGGAGGCCACCATGTTACGGGGGCTATTGGTTCAGAGGGAGCAGGAGTTATTCGGTCAGAGGGAGGCGCTACAGGAGGCTATAAGGGAGAAGGAGAGGGTAGAGGCACGGCGAGAGGAGCTGGTTAGGCAGCAGAAGGAGCGGGGGTTAATAAAGGAATCCAGTCCCGCTCCTCGCACCAAGCAAGTGGTGCGTGTCGCCAGTCCAGTCCGGCCCGTTCCTGCTTCCCGCACTAAGCCAGTGGTGCGTGTTCCTAGTATGGCCTGACCCGTTCCTGCACCTCGCACCAAGCCATTGGTGCGCATCGCCAGTCCGGCCCGTCCTGTTCCTGCTATCCCGCACCAAGCCAGTGGTGCGCGTCGCCAGCCCGGCACGGCCTGTTCCTGCCCCTCGCACCAAGACAGTGGTGCGCGTCGCCAGCCCGGCCTGGCCTGTTCCTGCCCCTCGCACCAAGCCAGTGGTGCGCGTCGCCAGCCCGGTCCGGCCTGTTCCTGCCCCTCGCACCAAGCCAGTGGTGCGCGTCGCCAGCCCGGCCCGGCCTGTTCCTGCCCCTCGCACCAAGCCAGTGGTGCGCGTCGCCAGCCCGGCCCGGCCTGTTCCTGCCCCTCGCACCAAGGCAGTGGTGCGCGTCGCCAGCCCGGCCCGGCCTGTTCCTGCCCCTCGCACCAAGCTAGTGGTGCGCGTCGCCAGCCCGGCCCGGCCTGTTCCTGCCCCTCGCACCAAGCCAGTGGTGCGCGTCGCCAGCCCGGCCCGGCCTGTTCCTGCCCCTCGCACCAAGCCAGTGGTGCGCGTCCCAGCCCGGCCTGTTCCTGCCCCTCGCACCAAGCCAGTGGTGCGTGTGTCCAGTCCGGCACGGCCCGTGCCTGTTCCACCGGTGTGGTTCCCAATCAGAGGCAGCTGTCGCTCGTTGTCTCTGATTGGGGACCCTTGCGGTTGAAGGCTCTGTTGCAAAATGTTCCCAAACCACAGAACAAGAAAATATGTGGTTTTCGGCAATGGCTTTATGGGAATGCTAGCAATTTGTAAACAATTACCCATTCCTATAAGTTATGTTTTATTATCCACTGAAACAATATGTTTCTCCTATTTTGAATGAAAAGGTCATATTAAAAATAAATGCGATCTCTGATGAGAGTCTCTCCTCCATCTTGTCTTGCATTGTGGTGAAACCCTATGCTCTCCGCTCAGTAGCGTAATGAAATTGCATGAAGATGACATATGGCGTAATGAAATAAGAGGACCTCTAAGCAAGGTGGAAGGAGTAAAGCAGGGGCGAGATCATCAACTTCACAAATCAAAAGTTTATCCACTGTAAGTTAGCTTGTTAGCTAGCCATAAATGATGTGATCTGTAATTAGCTAGCTAGATACCCAATTTGACGTGGTCCATAAATCAGTATGTCTAGTTGCTTTCCAGCAGCAATAGTGATTAAACAGTATAAAAAATGTTGAAAAGGGTATAATATTAGCTAGCTTAGGTATGTTGGTTGGAGAAAAAAGTACATACCTTACCACAATGTTTAGGCAAGTTTCTAGCTAGCTTGCAAAACAAACATTGTGTGCAAATCCACCCTTCTGCTGGTTGACAGGCAGAGCCCAAAATGGATGAGAAGGATATAATTGTGGCCCACAATTTGGGGCGTTCCTGCATCTGCAGGAACCCCTCTTTATACTTCCATTGGTCAATTTTTAAGCTAGGACTTAAACAGGTGGGAGGCGGGGCTCTCCAGTAACGTTGAATGCAAACCCCTGATAACCGAAGAAGAATTAATTAGAAGAAGAAGAAGAAGAAGAAGAAGAAGAAGAAGAAAATGAAGAAGAATGCATTAGAAGAAGAAGGAAGAAGGAATTTGAAGAAGAAGGAAGAAGAAGAAGAAGAAGACTGCTAGCTAGCTAGGACACCGGTAGACAGTGTCCTTCGCCCCCACCCGACGAGTACTGCTTTCCCGCAGTTCTGTTAACTACGGCGAGGGCAGGTGCTCGGCAGGCGGGGGAGAAAGACACTGTGTGCTAGTTAGCTAACTCGGACTCTGGTACACAGGCAGAAGGCGGGGGCAACACTGGTAGTTAGCTAGCTAGGACTCTGGTAGACAGTGTCCTGCCGAACACTGCTTTCTCACAGTTCTGTTAATGACGGTGGGGGCATCTGTCTGTTTATTTATTACATCACTTCTTCACAGCTTTGATAAAGAGAAGGGTGGTGTGGCTGGTATATCTGTTACATCTGCTATCCAACGCATCAACATATTACCCATTTTTACCTAAAACATTGCATATTAATTATACTACAATGATGGCATAGCCTAAACGAAAAAACCCTTTGACCCACATTTTTATCGCATAGACAATCAAGGGAAATTCAGAATATCAAACATGTCGCACAAGCATGAAGATGGCGTGCTCGAGGGGGGGGGGGGGGGGGGGGGGGGGGGGGGGGGGGGGGGGTGCGTTCCTGCAGCTGCGCCCACATGCAGGAAACCAATGGGACAGTCAAGGGTGGGCGCAATCACAATGGATGGAAAATTAACCTAAACCACACATACTTGTCAGGTATAGGTATATTAAATCTAGGGTTAAACAATTAAACTCCAGGTGATTTGGATAACTTTGTTGTGCTGTCTGTGTCTATTTTAGGAACAGTGAGAGGTTGTGTTTGTCACGCCCTGGCTCTGGGGACTCTAGTATGTTGAGCCAGGGTGTGAAATTTCATGTGCTTCTGTTCTAGTATGTTGTATTTCTATGTTGGCCAGTGTGGTTCTCAATCAGAGGCAACGTGTATCAGCTGTTGCTTGTTGTCTCTGATTGAGAACCATACTTAAGCAGCCAGTTTTCCCTCAGTGTTTGTGGGATCTTGTTCCAAGTAGGTTGTGTTTGTCTAAGGACGTCACGTTATCGTTTTGTTCAGTAACTCACTAATAAATATGTTCGCAAATAACGCTGCGCATTGGTCCTCTGTTCCCGACGATCGTGACAGAAGATCCCACCAAGACTGGACCAAGCAGCGTGTCCAGGAGCCATCGCCAGGGGAATTGCTAGCGGATCTCCGTGGCAACCTCGACTGGGTCAAGCCTAGTGAAGAGCAGAGAGGGTGGACTTGGGAGCAGTGGAGGAAGAGTCTCGACTGGGTCAAGCCATGTGAGGAGGAGAGAGGCTGGAGTTGGAAGCAGAAGAGCGAGAGTTGGGTGAGAACTATAGAGGCCTGGCCCATGGGGAGGAGAGACCCCCAGAAATGTTTTAGGGGGGGGCTCACGCCGTGGACGACGGGGCAGCAGGAGGCCGCGATGGAGCGGTCCAGCGGGTTTGCAGAGGAGGCCGCCAGGTTAAGGGGTCCACTGGTCACAGAGGAGAGGGAGAGTGTAGAGGCACGGCGAGAGGTACTGGGGTGTGTTACCAGTCCGGTCCGGCCCGTTCCTGATCCCTGCGTAGGGCCAGTGGTGTGTGTCCCCAGTACGGTCCGGCCTGTTCCTGTTCCTCGCATCGAGCCTGTGGTACGTGTCGTCAGCCCGGCCCGGCCTGTTCCTGCTCCCCGCACCAAGCCTATGGTGCGCGTCGCCAGCCCTGCCCGGCCTGTTCCTGCTCCCCGCACCAAGCCTATGGTGCGCGTCGCCAGCCCGGCCCGGCCTGTTCCTGCTCCCCGCGCCAGGTCTGTGGTGCGCGTCGCCAGCCCGGTCCGGCCCGTTCCTGCTCCCCGCACCAAGCTTATGGTGCGCGTCGCCAGCCCGGCCCGGCCTGTTCCTGCTCCCCGCACCGAGCCTATGGTGCGCGTCGCCAGCCCGGCCCGGCCTGTTCCTGCTCCCCGCACCAAGCCTATGGTGCGCGTCGCCAGCCCGGCCCGGCCCGTTCCTGCTCCCCGCACCAAGCCTATGGTGCGCTTCGTCAGCCCGGCCCGGTCCATTCCTGCTCTCTGCACCAAGTCAGTGGTGCGCTTCGTCAGCCCGGTCCGGCCCGCTCCTGCTCCCCGCACCAAGCCTATGGTGCACGTCGCCAGCCCGGCTCGGCCCGTTCCTGCTCCCCACACCAAGCCAGTGGTGTGCGTCGTCAGTCCGGCACAACCCGTGCCTGTTCCACCGGTGCCTGGTCCGGTACCGGTCAGCTGCTCCACGCCGGAGCTAGAGCAATCCGCTCCACCAGTGTTCAGTCCAGCTCCGGCCAGCAGGGCCAGACCGGACCAGGGGTACTTTGGGGGGTTAGAGAGGGAGTGGGGATCATGCCCGGAGCCGGATCCGCCGCCAAGGCGGAGTGCCCACCCGGTCCCTCCCCTGTGGTGTTTGGTTGGCGCGGTCGGAGTCCGCGCCTTTGGGGGGGGGTACTGTCACGCCCTGGCTCTGGGGACTCTAGTATGTTGAGCGTAGGGTGTGAGTTTTCATGTGTTTCTGTTCTAGTATGTTGTATTTCTATGTTGGCCAGTGTGGTTCTCAATCAGAGGCAACGTGTATCAGCTGTTGCTTGTTGTCTCTGATTGAGAACCATACTTAAGCAGCCAGTTTTCCCTCAGTGTTTGTGGGATCTTGTTCCAAGTAGGTTGTGTTTGTCTAAGGACGTCACGTTATCGTTTTGTTCAGTAACTCACTAATAAATATGTTCGCAAATAACGCTGCGCATTGGTCCTCTGTTCCCGACGATCGTGACAGTGTTGTTGTCAGCGTGATACGCTGTGTGTACAACTGCAGCCCGAATGCTAGGAGCTCTTTCCACAGGCGTTCAGTCAGTGAGTCACCACAGCCCCCCAGACTGCAGCCCAGCCCAGCCCTGTCACATTTACATTCACAGCACCTCCACATTATTCATATTTATAAAAGACTTCTGGCATGGGAGATCTTGTTGTTCCTCTACCTATGGCTGGCCTCAGCATTGATTTATAATGCTGCTTTTCAGGTCTCAACGTAATGAGACAAGTTAGAAAAGCTGAAATCTGCCGTAAATATATTAATTTGATAAACAATGGCCCTGTCAAACTGTATATGCTGAAGTTTGTCTGGAACCCCAAGCAGTGTTGTTCTGACATTTTAATTATCATGCCTTTTTAGGTTTGGTGGTCTACATTGTGTATTGCAACCCACTATTTCACCAAAGTCGCTGCAGTACAGTAAATTAGTATAGTACTTCAGAGCTTCTGTCAATGTCTACAGTGTGATGTCTTTATGCTTGAGAGGAAGATCAGTGGCACAGTGACTGCACATTATCATTATTGCCATGTATTGTATATAGAGGACCTGCAACAAAATGGCTGCTCACCTCTTATTACCCCTTATTTTTTCAGTGTGATTTATGGTGGCTGAAAGGCATGTGTGTGTTTGTGTGTAAGTGGGAGATGATACTGGGAATTATTTGATTTCAACACTCTCAGCTCACAGTAGGTGCTGCTCTCTTGTCATCTTTGGATGACAAGAGAGCAAAACATTTTAGCAGCCCAACTATTGACAGTGGAGATAATTTTTGTACATTTTAGAGTTAAGTTCACCATGGGGCGTAGAGGAAATGTTGCAGTTTTAAAGCAAGTTTGCTGCAATTGTACATATGTTGCCATGGGGCAGAGAGGAAATGTTGCAGTTTTAAAGCAAGTTTGCTGCAATTGTACATATGTTGCCATGGGGCGGAGAGAAGATTTTGCAATTTTATAACTAATTTCATGCTATTCTACTCATTTTGCCATGGGGTGGAGAGAAATGTTTACAGTTTTTAATATGATATCTGAGTGAGACTGACTAACAAAATCAATGGTGGCCCCCCAGCCGGTAATTCGACCATGATTACTAAGTTCAGGTAGCTGGCCGCTAGACTAATTTACTAATCAAATTATTTTTTGCTGACATTGGCCAATTGAGTGCCTATCAGTAGTTATGTTTCCATTAACTTGTCCAGTGTTTTTTTGTCGTCATTTAGAAAGTTTGCATAGAAAACAGATGTAGCAATTGCCTGCAAGCGTGCATTTCCATTTAACCATCTTGTGTCGATAAAAACCTGCTGGACATAATGACGTCACACCTACCTTTTTTTTTTTTTTTTACCTACAGTGTCAAATAGAAATCTAGTGGTTGAAGTGTTTCCATTACCCATAATAGGCAAATTGCGCATTAATACATTGTCGACAGCCTGTATGCCCTCCCACCTATCCGTTTCATGTTTTAGGTAGCCCACGAAAGCCAGCATGAATAGAATGCAATAATTGACTAATATTTTCCATATTCTAACAATTCTCATGTGCCGATCAACGTATCGCCAATGTCCGTGCCATGGTGAAAATTGCACTCCTGTAGATCTGAAATAATTGGATGGTGAAACCTGCGAGCCAACCATAAAAAAAGGCGAAGCAATTCAGGGATTCTTGAAAGTCAGGACAATCCTTATCCTACAAAGAAACATTTATTTTATTTTATTATGATTTTGCAAGCAGTAGGCATTTAGAATAAAATGTGGAGTGGAGCTTATAGTTACATGATGCCATCACGTGTCCTGCGTACCTTCAAAAGTATTTGGCAATCATAATTTATTAGAAAAACACTGTTTCCATCATCATTTGTCGCAATAAAGAAAGTTAGACAAAAGAAAAATCCACCCCTGTCGAACAGATAAAAATGTTGTAGATCTTTAGAAAATATCTCCTATATCTGCCGTTTCCATTACATATGTCGCAAAGATTTTTTTTGCCACATTGCTTTTGTCGAATAAACCTGGGTCAATGGAAACCTGCCTAGTAACAGACATAACAAGAGAAAAACGGCTGATGCACAACCAAATTTTGAAATTGCACAATGTGTATTCTACTATTGTAACTCGCAAAAGTAAGTTGAGACCCCAACTGAGTTTCTAAACAACTTTTTGTGGGGAAATTGAACCGAGGGTCTTCAAAAGGGGGGACGTGGGCCGCCAGTTGCCCATCCCTGATTGATGTCTTAATTGAATTCTCTTCTGGTCCAATATTGAGCCCAAAGGCCACTCTTAGAATAGGCCAATTAACCTCTCTCACACTGCTCCATTTTAGGGATTAGTAAGAGCGCTATGATTCACTGGTCATAGTTAGTATGAGTGTGAATGTACTGGATGGTAGTCTTGGTCAAGACAACAACTGCTGAATGCACATTACTGCATTATGTGGTTATGTTGCTTATTATCATCAATGTATTACAGAAAACATAGCAGAATACGAAGATGGGTGTGCTTGACCAACGGAACAGGAACTATCTCTAAATTTGGCCCATGAGTTCTGACAACAGACTTCATATCGGATTACATTCCCAAACCCAAAATACAGGCATACTGTATTCCATATAAACCACTGAAATGTGAGTTGAACCAATCTGTCCATGCAGTTACAATACCTCATTGTTGGCCAGTTGAAACCATGGCTGCTTCCCGTAGGTGAAGATCTCCCAGAGGATCACACCAAAGCTCCACACGTCGCTCTCTGTGGTGAACTTCCTGTACATGATGCTCTCAGGGGGCATCCAGCGGATGGGCAGCATGGTGTGGCCCCCCACCTGGCAGAGAGAGAGAGAGAGAGAGTGCGCGAGAGAGTGTGTGTGAGAGAGAGAGAGAGAGAGAGAGAGAGAGAGAGAGAACAACAGATGTCAGCACACAGTGTTATAGACCTGGACTAACGGCTCAAAGGGATTTGAAGGTTAAATCACAACTGAAAAAGAAAAAAAAGAAAACTATTGTGAAAGAAACTGTAATATTTTTTACTTCTTTTTTATTACATATTCACCGAAAGGCATGCAGCAGACACACTTTGAATACTTCTAGATGGTCTTTTCTAGTTTCTTTCTTTTATTTATTTATTTTAAACTTAAAATATTTGAGAAGAAGGGAAACCTACACAGCCCTGTAACACAGAAGATGAAGAAGAGTCAATGAGGCTCAGCTGGGAGGAGGAAGAGAAGATGGAGCCAAGAGAGGGAAGGAAAAAGGATCCATTAAAGAAGTTTGACAGCTTCAAGCCATGCAGCAACATAAATGAAGTCTTCCCCTCAGCATTCCCTTCCCACTGGCTGTCTGACTGCCAGATATTATACGATTAAAACAATGAGGCATTAATCATCTGTGCCCTCCTCTTTAACTCAACAGGATTTTTTCTAAATCTGTTTCCAATTCATGTCAATTGCACTGTGTTAATCATATCTGTGGAAGAGTTGAACAAGAGTGACATTTCAATAGTGGATGTTGGATTATTATTACTTTCAACTCTTAAGTGGTAGCTGCATATTAATTATAGAGCTCATTAGCACTGAGCTCACTATGGGTCAAGGTATTGACTGAGCATGTGAATTCAAAGAAGTTAACATTACATTACATTCCCACATTATTGATACTGTAGCTACAAAGGATCAGTCTACCATGTTTGCCATCTATAATAACAGTATATTATAGCATCAGTTTCTGTTCTGGTGATTATGTATCGTTGGTTTTTCTTTGTTAAATTTGGCCCGCTGAACATTACAATAAGTTGTTCCGTTTTACAACGTCTTCAATATACTCACCCCTTCCTTCTCCCCCTCCTCCTTCTCCTCCTTCTCCTCCTCCTCGTCCGCCTGCTCTCCTTTTTTAAGATTTATGACGGTTTATTAATGAGATTATGGTAAAATGTCTGCTGGACCACGTCCCATAAAGCCTGTGTGAATATGTAACCCTAAACGACACTATCACACTCTAGTGATCTTCTTCCAAGCTGAAAAGAGAAAAAAAGGTGCAGGCTGTTTCAAAAATCTAATGTTTTCATGTTCAATCATATAAATAACCCATAGCTTATTATAAATAAGGCGGATGCAGATTTCAAATGTGTGCAATAGTATCATGTTAAGCCAATGGAGTTCTAACAGTTGTAATGCATTCCTGGCCCATTAGGGAAAGGGGTATTTGTCTATCATGCAATCCACACTACAACCCTAATATTCACTGTAAAATCAACTTAAATGGTCTTACCTCGAAACCTCACCTTTGTCATAGCTCTACCCTACTATCCCATCTCCTGATTCAAACCCAGCCCTACCTCATAATCAATACTTGACAGGGAACAGGTCAGAATGTCATGGGAAGTCCCTAAGACATCTCCTTCGTAGTATATTGGTAAGGGACTCAGAAGTGAATTGGTTTCCCTGCTGCAATGACCTGACACCCTTCCCATTCTGCTGGACCCCTGACTATTGACTTCTTTATGTGGACAGATTGTTCCTCACCAGACCAATGTTGTTGGCGCTACATGGTACACCACCCCAGAATGCAGGCTGGTGTCCAAAACAGAGTAGAACAGGAGGATGATCTAAATTCACACACCGTTTTGAAGACTTAACACGGTTCTATGATATTTGCAAGATTCATAGGATGTACAGCTAACTGCCAAAATAATGGAAACACTTGAGTAAATGAGGGCTACAAAGTATAGCAGGTGCTTCCACACAAGTGTGTTTCCTGAGTTAATTAAGCAATTAACATCCCATCATGGTTATGGTCATGTATAGAAATGCTGGGCAGGCCATTATTTTGGCTACTGTGGCTATGCCCCTATAGGATGACAACGCCCCCATCCACAGGGCACGAGTGGTCACTGAATGGTTTGATGAGCATGAAAATAAAACTAATGTCAACCATATGCCATGGCCGTCTCAGTCACCAGATCTCAACCCAATTGAACACTTATGGGAGATTCTGGAGCGGCGCCTGAGATAGAACTTTCCACCACCATCAACAAAACACCAAATTATGGAATTTCTCGTGGAAGAATGGCTTCACATCCCTCCGATAGAGTTCCAGACACTTGTAGAATCTATGCCAAGGTGCATTGAAGCTGTTCTGGCTCGTGGTGGCCCAACACCCTATTAAGACACTTTATGTTGGTGTTTTCTTTATTTTGGCCGTTACCTGTATCTGCAAGACAGATTTGTGTTTGTTATGCTAGCCCTGTCTGTCTTGGGAGACTGGATCTGGTTCTCTGAGTCAGAGTATTTGTTAACTTGTTTATGTGTGTGTGTGTGTATGTTGGGAGATTACATTAATTGATTGAATTTCAATCAATCTTAATGGCTTCTCCCTGGCAAGCACCACCCTCAATTCAGTCTGGGGTTGAACAGTGGACCATGGAAGCATATAAATCAGAGTGTGGGCTTCCCTTGTAGCGGAATTAAAACTGTCAGGGTGATGACAAAAACACCAACACAATTTAAAAGCATAGCACAATTAGCATATAGAGAGAAATTAAAGTATAGCTAATTTCTATACTCATAGACTGACGATAACATATACATTGATTGAAGCAACCGTCAATACATTTCAATACTGTCCCTCCATATACAGTCTTGTTCATAATTATTGGCAACCTTGATAAAGATTAACAAAAAAGACTGTATAAAATAAATTATACCAATACTGAGCTATATTGTATGCTAAAACAAAAGACAATTGTATTATTATATACTAATACAATTGCTCAGAGAATGAAAATAAAACAATTCTCAGATAGGGGTAAGAAATGATTGGCACCCCTGTTTTCAGGACTTCATCACCCTACCCTTGCGAGGATAATGACACTGAGCTTATTTCAAAAATGTTTTATGAGATTGGAGAATACATTGGGAGGGATCTTAGACCATTCCTCCATTTAGAATCTTTCCAGATCCTTGATATCCTTCGTCTGCGGTTAGAGTTCGGAGACTGAGATGGCCATTGCAAAATGTTTATTTTGTGGTCAATTAACCATTTATTATTGGATTTTGATGTGTGCTTGGGGTTATTGTCTTGCTGGAATATCCACTTGTGGCCAAGTGTTAGCCTCCTGGCAGAGGCAACCAGGTTTAGGCTAAAAGATCCACCACCATATTTTACTGTAGGTATGAGGTACATTTCTGCGCATGCTTCTGTTTTTCGACGACAAACCCACCACTGGTGTGTGTGGCCAAAGAGCTCTATATTCATGTCATCTGACCATAGCACCGCCTGGAGTTTGATAAGCAGTATTGGCACTTGGATTGGAACCGGTGGTATGGTCAGATGACATGAATATAGAGCTCTTTGACCACGCACACCAGTGGTGGGTTTGGTGTCAAAAAACGGAAGCATATGCAGAAAAGTACCTCATACCTACAGTAAAATATGGTGGTGGATCTTTGATACTATTTTATACAGTATCTTTTGCTCTTCAAAGGTGCCAATAATTATGGACCTGACTGTATGTTGTTATGGTCAAAAAGCAGATGAATCATAATAAAGTTCCTAATTTGGAACAATGGCATTGGATTGTTGGATTAACATTGCAGCTTGCCAACAGTGACTATTGAGGAAGTGTAAAGGAATTATACACCCAGCATAGTTAGTTAAACAGTGATCTGTATGAAAATGCATTCCCTCTATGATGTGATATAATTGTATCATTGTCCGCTGCCTCTCAAACTGCTGCATTACACATCCACAATGTACATTCCTGTACAGTACCAGTCAAACATTTGGACACACCTACTCATTCAAGCGCTTTTCTTTCTTTTGACTATTTTCTACAATGTAGAATAATAGTGAAGACATCACAACTATGAAATAACACATATGGAATCATGTAGTAACCAAAAAAGTGTTAAACAAATCAAAATATATTTTATATTTGAGATTCTTCAAAGTAGCCACCCTTTGCCTTGATGACAGCTTTGCACACTCTTGCATTCTCTCAACCAGCTTCACCTGGAATGCTTTTCCGACAGTCTTGAAGGAGTTCCCACATATGCTGAGCACTTGTTGGCTGCTTTGTCCTGTTGAAAAACAAATGATAGTCCCACTATGTGCAAACCAGATGGGATGGCGTATCACTGTAGAATGCTGTGGTAGCCATGCCGGTTAAGTGTGCCTTGAATTCAAAATAAATCACAGACAGTGTCACCAGCAAAGCACCCCCACACCACACCTCCTCCTCCATGCTTCAAGGTGGGAACCACACATGCGGAGATAATCCGTTCACCTACTCTGCGTCTCACAAAGACACGGCGGTTGGAACCAACAATCTGAAATTTGGACTCATCAGACCAAATAACACATTTCCACTGGTCTAATGACCATTGCTCGTGTTTCTTGGCCCAAGCAAGTCTCTTCTTCTTATTGGTGTCCTTTAGTAGTGGTTTCTTTGCAGCAATTCGACCATGAAGGCCTGACTCACGCAGTCTCCTCTGAACAGTTGATGTTGAGATTTGTCTGTTACTTGAACTCTGTGAAACATTTATTTGGGCTGCAATTTCTCTAACTCGAACAAACTCTAACTCGGTAACTCTGGGTCTTCCTTTCCTGTGGCGGTCCTCATGAGAGCCAGTTTCATCATAGCGCTTGATGGTTTTTGCGACTGCACTTGAATAAACTTTCAAAGTTTTTGAAATTTTCAGGATTGACTGACCTTCATGCCTTAAAGTAATGATGGACTGTCGTTTCTCTTTGCTTATTTGAGCTGTTCTTACCATAATATGGACTTGGTCTATTACCAAATATGGCTATCTTCTGTATACACCCCTATCTTGTCACAACACAACGCATTAAGAAGGAAAGAAATTCCACAACTTAACTTTTAACAAGGCACACCTGTTAATTGAAATGCAGTCCAGGTGACTACCTCATGAAGCTGGTTGAGCAAATGCCAAGAGTGTGCAAAGCTGTCATCAAGGCAAAGGGTGGCTACTTTGAAGAATCTCAAATATAAAATATATTTTGATTTGTTTAACACTTTTTTGGTTACTACAATGTAGAAAATAGTAAAAATAAAGAAAAAACCTTGAATGAGTAGGTGTGTCCAGACTTTGACTGGTACTGTACATGTCAAGTTTGCCTGCCTTTGCGTTGCCTTTCAGATTCACATAGCCTTGTTATTTGTTGTATCGTGTCCAACAGGCTCTATGAAGCCATATCATACTTCTCAGTTCACAAACACACTGCCATGTCAGATCTGTGTGCCTGCCTGCAGACTAAGAACCAAAAGCTAATTTGGTTTGGGGGAGCCCGGGCATCATTTTCATTATACAGATGGGGGCTGTCAGATATGCTGCCTGTGAAAACCCAGCTCACTGTGCTCTTGCATACTGTGTCATATCCCTGGAGGGCAGTTTTCTTGGTTCTCCTGGAGGAGAGGAGCGGACGTCAATATGTCAGCAGTGTCAGGGAGATATGTTCTTGGCAGCCGCCCCAATTTATAATCACTCAACAACAGGGAATGTGTCCAATGCAGTCACAACCTCCTAATCTCTCAGCTCTGTCAGTGGACCATACAGCAGGCCTGGTCTGGCAGAGATGCCCGGGTCTAAAATGGCAAAGTCCCAAAGACGCTGCCAGACCAACAGACCAACAGGGGGCAGTCCAGCAGTCCTGGTAGTAGTCTGGTGGTGAATCAGTCTCTCACTGGCTTTTCTTACAATACCTTACCGGTTTTAGTACCTAAAAGGAGAAAAGCCACATGACCCCACTCTCTGAAGGTGTCTCAGGGGGAGTTGGGACTCATTTCTGTGTGAAATAGAAATGTGTTTTTTTGAATGTCCCAACTCCCCCTGAGAGTGGGGTCACTCACAGCCAGCCATTAGAAATTAGAGTTAAGTGCCTTGCTCAAGGGCACATCCATAGATTTTTCACCTTGTCAGTTCGGGCATTCGAACTAGCGACATTTCAGTTACTGGCCCAAAGCTCTAACCAGTAGGCTACCTGCCGCCAATTTTACTGAGCTGCTTATTGCGAAGGTACCATTAAGGAAAAGTAGCCTGCAGAACACATTAAGTGGGATGAGACTCAATGGACTCTTTGACATTTACTGTAAATGTAACTTCTTTTTCACAATGGCAATTACAGTCTGTATCTAGTGAAAATCCCCTGTGCCACAGTAATAATCCCTTTGTAATGCCAGCACAGCTTCCGCAACTCCATTATCAAATCGGCTAAGAGCTCTATATTCTGGTCACTGGAAAGAAGTCAAAGAAATATTCTTCTTCTGCTACAAACAAAATACAGCAAGAATGGTTCTGCCCTAGACGTGGCACATCTTCAAAAATATACATTATATTGAGCATGCATCACTTCTCCTTGTACATTTGAGCATTAGTAAAGGTAAAGAGTTCAGGGCAGGAATCAGTAAAGGTAAACAAACACATAATCATGAGGCAGGTGAATGCAGGGTCACCGTCCACAGCCACTGTGTCAAAACACCACCTGTTCTCTAAAAACACTGGATGGTCACCAAAAAGACATAATTGAGTTGATTATGAATGTACAGTATAGCTTCATATAACAAACATGCAAATACATTTACTACATGGAATCATTTGTTAACTATAAAACATACATAGGTGCTTACCCTGTAGTAGTCCGTGCTGTAGATGTCCCTGGACATTCCAAAGTCACCAATCTTCACCAGCAGGCCGTTTCCTACCAGGCAGTTCCGAGTGGCTAAATCACGGTGCACAAAGTGCTGGGAGGCCAGGTACATCATCCCCGCTGCGATCTGAGTGGCAATGTGCAGCATCTGAGACAGGCCCAGCTCCCCATTGGTCTGCAGCGGCTGTCCGTCAACCAGGATCATAGCATCGGGCCCATGGGCTCTGTGGATGGGGAAGGGAGGGAGGGAGGGAGGACTTGAGCTCAGGCTTAGTGAACTTGTCTCAAGACACAATCAGCATAACTTACTTCATCTAACTGTAAGTCGCTCTGGATAAGAGCGTCTGCTAAATGACGTAAATGTAAATGTAAATGATATTACATTTTGAAATTGATTATTATTATAGCTATGAATAGTATATGACAGTAGTATGTTATTCAGTTGTAATGGATTGGTCATTAGATGTATTTTCATTCAACCTTTAATTGAGACAGGAACATTGGCAATGTCATTAATGTACAGGGCCACTGGGTGCAAAACCAACAAGAGCTTCTCCGTATGAATTAATGCAGACATTTGCATATATAAAGGCACCAGCAAGTAGTCTGCCTGCTCTGCCTCTGCTATTGAGCACCAATGTTCCCTGCCACCGCAGAAGATCCAGAGGTTTAATAATATCCAATCATAAAGGAGATCAGCCATCTCATTGGCAATCTGAGTCACAATTTCCCCAGTCTGTGGAGGGTCAGTCAGCAGTCTGCCGTTACACACAGCGTTTTGTGGTTTTACACTAACAGGTCATCTCTACTTAATGTACAGTGTAGCAAATAGGAATTTGCTGCTGCTGGCACTGGGTGACAGGTCTAGTGGAAAACAACATCAACATTGTATTTTCCCTCCTGTTTCTTATACGCTACAACATTTCTCTGAGGGGAAACAATCCATTAATTACAGCCTGATGCTTGCGGTAAGACCTGCAGGGTTGTGGCGGTTTTACTAGTATGTAGAAATAATGAGGAAATTACGGACAATAACTTATTTTATCTTTGGAAATGATCACATCTATTATATTGCTGGCCAAATTGATTATTGTATGACTTTAACTCTACTACTGATGATAATTATGCAGGTAAGTGTATGTGGATCAGTACATCACTAGTGGGGTGCAGTCAACCTGCCATTATAGACAGTTTGACATTGGCAAACAGTGGGATATGGTCCCACACACACACACACACCTCTATTAAGCTGAGTAAACTTCCACAATTCCAAAAACATATATATTTGAAGTCTGTTTCTCAGTTGTCAGCTTGTATTACTCATGGGCTACACCAAAGACAAATGTTTTGAAGTTAGTAAGAGTTTAGCACGTCTTGCTTATCTCACACATTTCTCTGCTTTATTCAGCTGAGTAAACTTAGAAAATCCAACTACACACATGATAAAAAATTAGGTTTCTCAGTTGACAGCTTGTAATCCTTGGCTACAGCACCCAAAGACAGAACTTAGTAAGAGTTGAGCACGTCTTACTTATCCCACACATCTCTACTTTATTCAGCTGAGTAAACTTTCCAAATTCCACCAACACATATTAGAAAATTATTTCTCAGTTGGCAGCTTGTATTACTCATGGGCTACATCACCCAAAGACTCATTTACAGAACTTAGTTGAGAGCTGAGCACGTCTTGTGCATTCAGTTGACACAGTTTACCTGAGGAACTTGTTGAGGTCCCCGTGCTTCATGTACTCAAAGACCATGATGAGGGGGTCTCCGTCCACACACACACCGTAGAACTTGACAATGTGCTCGTGCTGCAGGTTGGTCAATAGTTCCGCCTCCCTCTGGAAATCTTTTCTCGCTGCAAGGGTGGGGTCCTTCAGCGTCTGAGAAAATACAAGGGTGGGGTCCTTCAGCGTCTGAGAAAATACAAGGGTGGGGTCCTTCAGGGTCTGAGAAAATACAAGGGTAGGGTCCTTCAGGGTCTGAGGAATACAAGGGTGTTTAACTGCTTAGCAAAGTATGATACTGCTGGACATAGATTTTTCTCAAAGAAACAGAAAGCATTACATTTTTTCGGCTTCCTTACAATGAACCCTGGATAAACACTGACAACACCCCCCCCCCCCCCCCCCCCCCATCCACACACACAAACACACACAATAACCTCTGGCTGGTGCGAACACAACAGAGACAGGGTAATAAATGGAGCAGGGAGAGGTAAAGCACTGTAATCTTTCCATTTGAGGAGCAGAAAATGAATGAAAAATGTCTTGACATGTTGTCACAATGACCCGGCAAACTGTATAGCTTTACAGAAGCAGATCATTTTGTAATTGACTTCATTAGGCATCCCATACACAGTCTGACATTTCATTATATAGCCGTGATAAGAGGCTCCGTGCCTCACCAGATGTAGACGCTGTTGTTGCCTACCGTATTGGCTAAGAGTTATGGTATCATTATTGACGAGCTTATCGGCTGGAAATAAACCTCCTCCCTAAATTCCCACCTATGAAATAGTTTGGCATTTACACTCAATCTCTTGTCTCTCTCTGATCTTCCGACTGTAAAAGGTAGGATTTACTCCTTACTGAGTCTGGGATGACTGCCAAGCAGTCATTGTTGGGTGCTTCTAAATTAAAAAATGAAACATTTTGCAGCTGTACTGTAAACTAAAGTTTGGAAACAAAATGCATGTTTCCCGGAAATGTTCATGATCCAATCCTCTACTTATGTGCACTCCACAACACCACCAACATTACCATTCATAGAATTCATAACACTCTATTTAACAGATATTTGATATTCAACAATGATAATCACAGGGTTTTGCTAATGGTTTATTAATTTGAATTCTCTTGGATGACTTTATATCACTATGCAGAGGGGAATTAGAATGGATGGCAGTGCCCATGGACAGATGGCAAGGCATCCATCCCCATCCTCCCGGATGCTTTATGACCCCTATGCTGCTAGAGGAGTGCTGTGTTCCTAGTCCACCTGGATGTACAGGACAGACTAGAGAGCCACCCAGCTAGCTAGCACAGACACACAGACTATACCGTTTTTACTAGTAGGCTCCTAGACTTGTTGACCTACACATATTTCTAAAATATCCTGACATTCCATTATAACCTATATCTAACCTTAAATTAAATATATGTAGCTATATGGCTGTGGTGCTTACCTTGCAATCTTACCTTACATGAAATACAACCTACAATGTTAAAAAACAACAGCATACACTCCTGTATATTTGTACGTAATCTATTTCAATAGGATCCACTCTGGTGACTGGGGATGTGAAGAAAGGAAGGAAGGAAGAAAAATTGAATGAAGAAAAAAGGAAGGAGGAAAAAAGGAAGGAGGAAAAAGCCAGCTCAGTGTTGCCACCATTACTCTTGATCAAAGCATCTGAGGAGTAGAACATTTTGGGAGATGATTTAACATCCGTCACAGACAGCCTTATTGCTTCAGCTGCAGCCTTGGCGCCTCTGTAAGGTCGGCCTCTTTCTCTGTAAGGTCGGCCTCTGCATGTGCACTGCGGCTCCCTCCCTCCCGCTCCACACTATCATGGCTAACATCATTCCATGGATGAGCGCCTTGATGAAGAGTGATGGTGACAAGAGAGGAACAGTGATAAATGTGCCCCTTGTCACCAACCGGGATCACCATCATACTGTGACCCCTCCTCCAGCAGCTGATCTAGGTACCTTTTCATGACCTTTGAACTTTAATATCCTCAACCCCTGTCAGGTGAAATATGCATTTTAACACCGAGGTTACAGTCGTAATCTTTACGTGAAATTGAATAAATCAAGCGCAACAATTACTGACAGTCACTTCTCATTCAAGGAGATTGAGACAGTACGACCCACTGCATTTAAGGATGGATTTGACACAGTGATGTCATGTGACCAGCTACCAAAATCGTGTGATGATTTAAACTGGAAACAAATAATGAGAATAATGTATGACTGTATCTCTTTGTGCACTAACTCAAAATGGATGTCGCTGTAAACAGGTCCTGTGTTAGGTGTCTCAGCATCAACTAGAGCTGATTTAGCACAATCCCAATAGACCTGATTAACCTTGAAGCTGTGAAAATCTCTACCTTTGTAGAAAAATAGGTAATAGGCACACAGGCTGTTTGGTGGCTACCACCAGTGGTGTAAAGTACTTAAGTAAAAAAAAACTTGAAAGTACTACTTAAGTAGTTGTTTGGGGTATCTGTACTTTACTTTACTATTTATATTTTTGACAACTTTTACTTTTACTTCACTACATTCCTAAAGAAAATTATGTACTTTTTACTCAATACATTTTCCCTGACACCCAAAAGTACTCGTTACATTTTGAATGCTTAGCAGGACAGGAAAATGGTCTAATTCACACACTTATCAAGAGAACATCCCTGGTCATTCCTACTGCCTCTGATCTGGTGGACTCACTAAACACATGCTTCATTTGGAAATTATGTCTGAGTGTTGGAGCGTGCCCCTGGCTATCTGTAAATTTAAAAAAAACAAGAAAATGGTACCGTCTGGTTTTCTTAATATAATGAATTCGAAATGATTTATACTTTTACTTTTACTTTTGATACTTAAGTATATTTTAGCAATTACATTTACTTTTGATACTTAAGTATATTTAAAACCAAATACTTTTAGACTTTTACTCAAGTATGATTTTACTGGGTGACTTTCACTTTTACTTGAGTCATTTTCTATTAAGGTTTCTTTACTTTTACTTAAATATAACAATTGGGTACTTTTTCTACCACTGGCTACCACCTTAATCATGCACCAACTGCAATCCAGGAGGAGTCCTCTAAAGTTGCATAGAAATTGATCGCTTTATCTAGCATTAGTAGTGTGTTACAAGGGACACACATTATGGCCCTGGTTGAATGACAGATGTAGAGTTTTGTTCTTAGTGCTGCAACCAAATCCACTGAGACCCATTTAGGATCAGGAAGTCTATGATCACCCTTAAGCATCACTAACAAGCAGCTATATTATAATATGCCTCCCAAGACAGCCACACATATGTTTTCTAAAAAGACAAGGGATCACTCAATAAGTCAGGGGTAATATCTATAAGCCTGACAATATGGTATTTATACATTTAATCAATATGCTCAAGGATGGATTGGACAATACAGTCCGTATTGTATAATCCTGATGTGGAATTAGATATAAATGATTGTCAGCAACAAAACTTGGGTCTGTTCACAAGGTCTTTTTTTGTTGTTGCTAGACATGCTGGGGTAATGCAGTAGACAGCATGGTCAAAGCTAAATCTACTTCCTTCAGCTGGTTACATTTCAGGGGAAGGACAAAATTACTGGGGGGTTTCAGAGAAAATGAAAACTTCTCAAGAGTGAGCTGCTGTGCTCAAACTGCATGCACCAGGCATCCAGTCAGCTTCCCCATCTAAAAACCAATTTAGGGCTGCTTATTGTTTAGATAACTGCAGGCCTTAACACACTGAGGCTGTTTGTGTGTGTGTGTGTGTGTGTGTGTGTGTGTGTGTGTGTGTGTGTGTGTGTGTGTGCATGTGTGTGTGTTCGTGTGTGTGTGTGTGTGTGTGTGTGTGTGTGTGTGTGTGTGTGTGTGTGTGTGTGCATGTGTGTGAGAGAGAGAGAGAAGAGGCAATCACAGATGGTTAATGCCCACCAACTATAAATATTGCTCATAGTTGTTTGTTCCAACTACCAGCTTGTTATCCAGTTAATGCTATTTAGCCTTTTATTTCATGATCAGCCCCATTGAGATCAAGAATCGCAACAGTGAAGATATAACACACTTATTAGGCTTGGGCGATATGCCGTTTATACCTTATACCGGGGTATTTCGAAATACCGACGGTATGATTTTCAATACCGTAAAAAAAAAGTATAATTATAAACTGGGTGGTTCGAGCCCTGAATGCTGATTCGCTGACAGCCATGGTATATCAGACCGTATACCACAGGTATGACAAAACATGTATTTTTACTACTCTAATTACGTTGGTAACCAGTTTAGAATAGCAATAAGGCACCTCGGGGGTTTGTGGTATGTGGCCAATATACCACGGCTAAGGGCTGTGTCCAGGCACTCCGCGAAATCTAAGATGTGTCAAATAAATGATACCCAGCTCAGGGCGCCAGCTACACATTTGGCTTGCTAACTTGCTAGCTAAGTGGCTATATGTCAAGAGCAAGCTTCTTGATTACAGCAGAGACATTCAATGGAGGAGGAGGTGTAAACGGTATTACCGGAAGTGCACACAAGGGGCGCTATAAAAAACTAAAATAATAATAATACTTTTTTTGGCATCAGGGATGTTTTTATTGCGCCCCTTGTGTGCACTTCCGGTAATACCGTATACCCCGGTATGGTATAGAAACGGTATGACGATATGGAAATCTGGATACAGCCCAGCCCTACACTTATAGCAGAAAGTGACTCAATACATCTTGACCCAAAAGTTGTGATATTCAAGTCAACCATAATGACCTGTACAGCATGTAATACATGTTTAAAATAATGCCAATTTAACCTGCTAGTGAGATATTTAGCCCTGAATGTGATTTCCAGGGGAAAACTTTCTCACCCATTAGTCAGCTGTTGTCACTAGGGTTGAATGGCGGAAACCCGGTTACTGAGATTTAACGCCCAAAACCACTCCCTTTTCCCGGGATAAATAACTGCGAGAAACCGGTATATTATAATAAATTCTTTATATGAACAGCATGGCGTAAAATGGAACTGTTAAATTACATGCGATGTTTAAATCTGCATGATGAATCATCAACGCTCAGGGTGGGGACAGACAGCCCATCTCAGTATGGAGTGCAGTTCACAATGCATGTAGACCTATCAACTCATCATGGTAACTTGCTTTCTTGTGACAGGTAGGCCTACATTTGCTGCAGCATCGTCTATGCTACAGTAATATAAAGACCGAATACGCATCTAATTTACCCATCTCCATCTGGCTTTCAGGGTCACCATGTTTTTTAATTGTAAATATTTGTTTATTTTTTATTGCAGCTCCAGAGTTTTAAAACAGTCTATCACTCGAATATTGCTGCTTTAAATCAGTGCATGCGCGAGCACTCTCTCTCAGTCTCCCTCTCTCCATCAATTCCATTCAAAAGGCATCCAAAATACAGTACCAGTCAAAAGTTTGGACACACCTACTCATTCAAGGGTTTTTCTTTAGTTTTACTATTTTCTACATTGTAGAATAATAATGAAGACATCACAACTATGAAATAACACATATGGAATCATGTAGTAACCAAAAAAAGTGTTAAACAAATCAAAATATATTTTATATTTGAGATTCTTGGCATTCTCTCAACCATCTTCACCTGGAATGATTTTCCAACAGTCTTCAAGGAGTTCCCACATTTGCTGAGCACTTGTTGACTGCTTTTCCTTCACTCTGCCGTCTGACTCATCCCAAACCATCTCAATTGGGTTGAGGTCAGAGGATTATGGAGGCCAGGTCATCTGATGCAGCACTCCATCACTCTCCTTCTTGGTAAAATAGCCCTTACACAGCCTGTAGGTGTGTTGGGTCATTGTCCTGTTGAAAATCAAATGATAGTCCCACTAAACCCAAACCAGATGGGATGGCGTATCACTGCAGAATGCTGTGGTAGCCATGCTGGTTCAGCGTACCTTGAATTCTAAATAAATGACAGACAGTGTCACCAGCAAAGCACCCCGACACCATAACACCTCTTCCTCCATGCTTTCCGGTTTCTTGGCCCAAGCAAGTCTCTTCTTATTATTAGTGTCCTTTAGTAGTGGTTTCTTTGCAGCAACAAGTAATATCTTACAATTTCACAACATATACCCAATACACACAAATCTAAGTAAGGAATGGAATTAAGAATATGTACATACAGTTGGGAGAACAAGTATTTGATACACTGCCGATTTTGCAGGTTTTCCTACTTACAAAGCATGTAGAGGTCTGTAATTTTTATCATAGTTACACTTCAACTGTGAGAGACGGAATCTATAACAAAAATCCAGAAAATCACATTGTATGATTTTTAAGTAATTAATTTGCATTTTATTGCATGACATAAGTATTTGATCACCTACCAACCAGTAAGAATTCCGGCTCTCACAGACCTGTTAGTTTTTCTTTAAGAAGCCCTCCTGTTCACCACTCATTACCTGTATTAACTGCACCTGTTTGAACTCGTTACCTGTATAAAAGACACCTGTCCACACACTCAATCAAACAGACTCCAACCTCTCCACAATGGCCAAGACCAGAGAGCTGTGTAAGGACATCAGGGATAAAATTGTAGACCTGCACAAGGCTGGGATGGGCTAAAGGACAATAGGCAAGCAGCTTGGTGAGAAGGCAACAACTGGAAGAAAATGGAAGAAGTTCAAGATGACGGTCAATCACCCTCGATCTGGGGCTCCATGCAAGATCTCACCTCGTGGGGCATCAATGATCATGAGGAAGGTGAGGGATCAGCCCAGAACTACACGGCAGGACCTGGTCAATGACCTGAAGAGAGCTGGGACCACAGTCTCAAAGAAAACCATTAGTAACACACTACGCCGTCATGGATTAAAATCCTGCAGCGCACGCAAGGTCCTCCTGCTCAAGCCAGCGCATGTCCAGGCCCGTCTGAAGTTTGCCAATGACCATCTGGATGATCCAGAGGAGGAATGGGAGAAGGTCATGTGGTCTGATGAGACAAAAATAGAGCTTTTTGGTCTAAACTCCACTCACAATGTTTGGAGGAAGAAGAAGGATGAGTACACCCCCAAGAACACCATCCCAACCGTGAAGCATGGAGGTGGAAACATCATTCTTTGGGGATGCTTTTCTGCAAAGGGGACAGGACGACTGCACCGTATTGAGGGGAGGATGGATGGGGCCATGTATCGCGAGATCTTGGCCAACAACCTCCTTCCCTCAGTAAGAGCATTGAAGATGGGTTGTGGCTGGGTCTTCCAGCATGACAACGACCCGAAACACACAGGCAGGGCAACTAAGGAGTGGCTCCGTAAGAAGCCTCTCAAGGTCCTGGAGTGGCCTAGCCAGTCTTCAGACCTGAACCCAATAGAAAATCTTTGGAGGGAGCTGAAAGTCTGTATTGCCCAGCAACAGCCCCGAAACCTGAAGGATCTGGAGAAGGTCTGTATGGAGGAGTGGGCCAAAATCCCTGCTGCAGTGTGTGCAAACCTGGTCAAGACCTACAGGAAACGTATGATCTCTGTAATTGCAAACAAAGGTTTCTGTACCAAATATTAAGTTCTGCTTTTCTGATGTATCAAATACTTATGTCATGCAATAAAATGCTAATTAATTACTTAAAAATCATACAATGTGATTTTCTGGATTTTTGTTTTAGATTCCGTCCCTCACAGTTGAAGTGTACCTATGATCAAAATTACAGACCTCTACATGCTTTTTAAGTCGGAAAACCTGCAAAATTGGCAGTGTATCAAATACTTGTTCTCCCCACTGTATATGGACGAGCAATGACAGAGCGACATGGACTAAGATACAGTAGAATATTATAGAATACAGTATATTCATATGAGATGAGTAATGCAAGATATGTACATTTCTATAGGCAGCAGCAGCCTCTAATGTGCTAGTGATGGCCTTGCGATAGAAGCAGTTTTTCAGTCTCTCGGTCCCAGATTTGATGCACCTTTACTGACCTCACCATCTGGATGATAGCGGGGTGAACAGGCAGTGGTTCGGGTGGGTGATGTCCTTGATGATCTTTTTGGCCTTCCTGTGACATCGGGTGCTGTAGGTGTCCTGTAGGGCGGGTACTTTGCCCCCGGTAATGCGTTGGGCAGACCGCACCACCCTCTGGAGAGCCCTGCGGTTGCGGGCGGTGCAGTTGCCGTACCAGGCAGTGATACAGCCCGACAGGATGCTCTCAATTGAGCATCTGTAAAAGTTTGTGAGGGTTTTAGATGCCAAGACAAATTTCTCTGTTGCGCCTTCTTCACCACACTGTCTATGTGGGTGGACCATTTCAGTTTGTCAGTGATCTGTGCGCCAAGGAACTTGAAGCTTTCCACCTTCTCCACTGCGGTCCCGTTGATGTGGATAGGGGGGTGCACCCTCTGCTGTTTCCTGAAGTCCACGATCATCTCCTTTGTTTTGTTGACGTTGAGTGAGAGGTTATTTTCCTGGCACCACACTCCCAGAGACCTCACCTCTTCCCTGTAGGCTGTCTCGTCATTGTTGGTAATCAAGCCTACTAATGTTGTGTCATCTGCAAACTTGATGATTGAGTTGGAGACGTGCTTGGCCACACAGTCATGGGTGAACAGGGAGTACAGGAGTGGGACATTATCTTTTTAGCATTTCCTATACTAATAGACTATTCGAAGAGGGATGCAAGCTCTTGTTTGCTGAATGTTAAATACAGCAGCCAATATAAGAAGAGTGAACATGCAGTGGCGGTAGACTATAGCAGTTATTTATTCAGACCCATGAGCTACCCATTCAATCTTTGTGAAGAGAAGTGAAAGCCTTCTGCATCTAATTCTAGTCCTATTTTATTCAATGATGTCATTAGAATGGTGAAGATAAGGACAACAACACTTATTTAATTTAGGCTAGCTGTTGAAAGCGAGGAAGGAACGAAGCAGCAATAGAGAGAGAAAGAGGAGGTAGGCTAATAACATTAGGGGAAATATTATGAAAGGTATTTATGCGTCAGCCTACTAATTATACAAATAGGCCCTAATATATTTCAAAATTAAAATACAATTTGCTAGCCTATACTTGTAACTTTGTAGGCCGCATGTACTGCACCAGAATCCCATGATCTCTCTTTATCATGGTTGCTTTATCATGGTTTGAACAATGTGCATAATTCCAGTCCATATAATACAGTATAATACAATACAGTACAGTAATACAGTTCACACTAAAAAAGATTAGTCTACTGGAGCTGGTTTCATTTATTTACCCAAGAGAGCATATAGCTAGCTACATCTATGGGCTTTTACGTTTTTCTGTCGTGCGTAGCCTATATCATATATGTATTGGATAATGGCAATCATTTTGACTTTTTGGGACTAAATGTCTTTAATGTAGGGCTCATCAAATTTATTTAATGTATGGCTTTATTTAATGTATGAATATTCGATCAAAGCTCTAATCAAATCCAGACATATGCCTATTTATATGCTTTATAATGCTTTTGAATGACACTTTCGGTTTTGGCGGGAAATACCGGGTTAGCCGGGAGAAAAGTTATTTGTTCTTGGGATGGAACATTTGTAAAATACCTGGAAAATATTCAACCCTAGTTGTCACCCCATAGTGGAGCCTCATTCATTCAATTTGATACGAAACGTCCAACATGGTACTCATAGTGACCTCAATGATTATTAGCATGATTATAAAGCTACTCTACTGCAGAAAATCCTATTTTTATCGATCCACGTCTCCAAATCCTTCTTGTGGAGGCAGCTGGCCATGGCAGGGACGGTGGCCCCAAGAGCCGTTCAAGGATCAAGATAATACAAGTCAGACGCTGAGTGCTGAGAGGCCCTGTAACTGGAGAGTGAAGTGGCCCTGTATAATTGAGAGATCATCTCTTACCTTGACAGCCACCAGCATCTTGTCCTTGGTGGGGCTGAGGTTATAGCACTCTGCCAGGAACACTTTCCCAAAGGCCCCCTCTCCCAGCTCCCGCTTCAGAATGATGTCCCGACGCTTTATGTGCTGCACGTCTGTAGATAGAGATAGAGAGAGAGAGAGAGAGAGAGAGAGAGAGAGAGAGAGAGAGAGAGAGAGAGAGAGAGAGAGAGAGAGAGAGAGAGAGAGAGAGAGAGCGAGACAGAGAGAGAGAGAGAGAGACAGAGAGAGAGAGAGAGAGAGAGAGAGAGAGAGAGAGAGAGAGAGAGAGAGAGAGAGAGAGAGAGTTTAAGTAGCAGGTCCAGTAGCAACAAACCATCAGTGTTTCTGACAGAATCAGGGGCAAGTGTTAAGTAATGGTTCACTGATGGGACTGGTAAGTCTTAAATCCTGATACACTCTCAGAATAAAAAGGTTACAGTATTGATTCCTGGGGTACAATATCAAAATGCACATAATGTACCTTCAGAGGTACACAAATAATCTCACATGGTACTGTTTGATACCTTTTAGGGTACATGTGTGGATAATCTAGTACAATGGTACATTTTCGTACCCACTATTTTGAATAGAAAGGTTCAATCATCACACACTCTAGTAAAAAGGGGTATGGTGAAGGTTCATTTCTGTTTCCTAGGTTAGAGGCGTGGATTAGTGGCGGGCGAGTGGAAGTGTTGTACCAGTTTAAGTGGTACAGTGGGGGAAAAAAGTATTTAGTCAGCCACCAATTGTGCAAGTTCTCCCACTTAAAAAGATGAGAGAGGCCTGTAATTTTCATCATAGGTACACGTCAACTATGACAGACAAAATGAGAAAAAAAATTCCAGAAAATCACATTGTAGGATTTTTAATGAATTTATTGGCATATGATGGTGGAAAATAAGTATTTGGTCAATAACAAAAGTTTCTCAATACTTTGTTATATACCCTTTGTTGGCAATGACACAGGTCAAACGTTTTCTGTAAGTCTTCACAAGGTTTTCACACACTGTTGCTGGTATTTTGGCCCATTCCTCCATGCAGATCTCCTCTAGAGCAGTGATGTTTTGGGGCTGTCGCTGGGCAACACAGACTTTCAACTCCCTCCAAAGATTTTCTATGGGGTTGAGATCTGGAGACTGGCTAGGCCACTCCAGGACCTTGAAATGCTTCTTACGAAGCCACTCCTTCGTTGCCCGGGCGGTGTGTTTGGGATCATTGTCATGCTGAAAGACCCAGCCACGTTTCATCTTCAATGCCCTTGCTGATGGAAGGAGGGTTTCACTCAAAATCTCACGATACATGGCCCCATTCATTCTTTCCTTTACACGGATCAGTCGTCCTGGTCCCTTTGCAGAAAAACAGCCCCAAAGCATGATGTTTCCACCCCCATGCTTCACAGTAGGTATGGTGTTCTTTGGATGCAACTCAGCATTCTTTGTCCTCCAAACATGACGAGTTGAGTTTTTACCAAAAAGTTATATTTTGGTTTCATCTGACCATATGACATTCTCCCAATCCTCTTCTGGATCATCCAAATGCACTTCAGACGGGCCTGGACATGTACTGGCTTAAGCAGGGGGACACGTCTCGCACTGCAGGATTTGAGTCCCTGGCGGCGTAGTGTGTTACTGATGGTTGGCTTTGTTACTTTGGTCCCAGCTCTCTGCAGGTCATTCACTAGGTCCCCCCGTGTGGTTCTGGGATTTTTGCTCACCATTCTTGTGATCATTTTGACCCCACGGGGTGAGATCTTGCGTGGAGCCCCAGATCGAGGGAGATTATCAGTGGTCTTGTATGTCTTCCATTTCCTAATAATTGCTCCCACAGTTGATTTCTTCAAACCAAGCTGCTTACCTATTGCAGATTCAGTCTTCCCAGCCTGGTGCAGGTCTACAATTTTGTTTTTGGTGTCCTTTGACAGCTCTTTGGTCTTGGCCATTGTGAAGTTTGGAGTGTGACTGTTTGAGGTTGTGGACAGGTGTCTTTTATACTGATAACAAGTTCAAACAGGTGCCATTAATACAGGTAACGAGTGGAGGACAGAGGAGCCTCTTAAAGAATAAGTTACAGGTCTGTGAGGGCCAGAAATATTGCTTGTTTGTAGGTGACCAAATACTTATTTTCCACCATAATTTGCAAATAAATTCATAAAAAATCCTACAATGGGATTTTCTGGATTTTTTTTCCTCAATTTGTCTGTCATAGTTGACGTGTACCTATGATGAAAATTACAGGCCTCTCTCATCTTTTTAAGTGGGAGAACTTGCACAATTGGTGGCTGACTAAATACTTTTTTTCCCCACTGTATATGGTTATGTTCATTAAAGTTTCAGCATGTCCGCTGCCAGTTCTGAAGACTTTATAACGGCATGGGAGCATGGGACAATAAAAAGCTGTAATTAATATTGTAGCGACCTTACCCCAACACTGAGCGACCTTGTCAAGAGGTACCCAAAAATGTACGCCATTGGTCTTAGAAATCAATAGTGTGCAATTGCAGCCCGCAATTCGGGGCGTTCCTGCATGTGGGCATTCCAGCATCTGCAGGAACGCCCCCCCTCGAGCATCCCATTGGTTCCTGCATGAATGCTGTGTGACACTTTTCAATGTGGGTCAAAAGGGAAATAAAAGTATTATCTGAGTTTTTTTGCACCCGCCTCCCGGAGTCCTCCTTGCTAGCCACCGGTAGACAGTGTCATTCACTCCCGCCTGCCGAACACCTGCCCTCACCGTTGTTAACAGAACTGCGGGAAAAAAGTGCCCGACAGGCGGGGGCGAAGGACACTGTCTACCGGTCACCCCCCGCCTCCCGCTAGCACAGCATGCTAGCTAGCACACGGTGTCGCCACAGATAAAACAATGAGATAGATATTTCACCGGATGTATAAATGTGAAGCATCTGGTTGGCATTTCCACTACCAAATATGGTAGTGAGAGTGAGCCCAGTGGCCGGCAGTGGGAGATGATGGAACGAGATGGATTTTGGCTGACATTCTGCTAATTTACTCATTGATTAAACATTTGATCTCAATACAGTTTTCTGTTCCCAAAACTACAATCTGTTACGAACAGATTTGTAGACTTTACCCTTTGCCAAAGATTCAAACAATTGTGTCGTTTAGAAGGTGTGCAAAGGTGAATTGAGCTATTGCACACGCACACTTCACAGAGTAGGTGTTCCCCAACGGAAATATTCAAATTAATGCTAGAACGCGCCAATAGGATCTCGCTAGCTTCTGCTTGGCTCTGCCTACCTCATTGCTTGTTCTGCCCACTATGGCTCATATGTTCCCATTTAAAACGACAGGCTGTGGTCTATCTTGGTTTAGTTATACAAATCTTTGGTGTCACCCCCTGCCTCCCACCTGCTCTGTACCAGACTAGTTGGCTAAACTAGCACACTCTTTTAAGGTACAAACGGCAAGGGTACAACTATGTATATAACTAATGGTCAACTGGACGACCACTACAGTGACAAGCGTTTGAACCCCTTTAAGTAGAATTCGGTACCTTTTTCTTCTGAGAGTATATGATGCCTCAGTGGATCTAATTGGATTAACTGGCTAGAGGCAGAGGCATAGAGCATACAGCCATTAGACCTGCTGTGGAGCTATAGAGTGTTAGAAGATATGTGAGGGTAAAACACATGATTTTGTTACTTACTTACGGCATTCATAAATAAACCACAGTTATAAAATGTCCATTGCCCTGTAATAATCTTAAAACCTGTGCACCATAGCAACTGCAGTGAGGAAATGTTAATTCAGTTCCCAACAAATAGGATAACGAAAATGAAAAGTCAAAATGACCCCTTTCCCTTCCAAAAAAATTATACAATGATCAGAATAATCCAATCAAACCTGGAAAATGTCAGGAACGTGTCTGCAACCTGTACACAGTGGTAAAATCGTGGTGAAATCACAGAGTGTACAGACAGTATTTGTCCTTACTCTCAGTGCTTTCCACCTGTTCTGTGTGGCTGAGAGCTGTTGTTGGGGGAGAGTGGCTTCCATATGGCAAGTCACAGCAGCAGCTGGTATTTACTCAATACAGTTCTGGATGAGCTGTTGTCCAACACCAATACCCACTACTGTCCAAGGCCCAGCCAAGCCCAGTACCACAGATCCCCTTGGAGGACTAGGGCAGAGCAGAGAAATAGATAAATACTGAGGGATAGGATGGACAAAGCTCTCATTACTATTGGTTGGCACAAACTAGTCATTACCCTCATGAAGCACCAGAAATATTGTAGCTACAATGCAATTAGCACCATCAAGGCAATAACAAAGTATCAACACCATGATAGCACTGCAAATATTTCTGCTTGAACCACGAGGTTCAAAACATCTTAAAAACATGTTTGATAATGGATTGCACTGGACAAAAAAAATAAAAAATAAAATAATAATAAAAAAATGGCAAACCCACACAATATCCGGATGCAGAAATAAATAATTGGTTTTGTTCCTCTGCAATTACTTCTTTTATCCCCTCCCTTCTCAATTTCCCAGAAAGACAGTGATAGGTTTACAACAAGCAGGTGGCTATGGGAAGTTACAAATAGCTTGGCTTAATTGTCTCATTACCACAGCGATTGTAGTGCATTCACCTCCCTGTTTGTATGGGCGAGGGCACCCATTCAGGGAGGTTACCCTCACTAGGCCTCATCTGTGTCCGAGTGGCCCAGCAGCACAGAGCACACAGCTGGGACAGAGCAGGACACAGTCTTCATCCTAATTAGGCTGCTTTACTTTGACAGCACAGATGTTGACTCCACTGCGGTGAAATTGACAGAATACCAAACTAGAGCTGATTTGGATAGAAATGTTGGCAAATTGTTGTTATTTGATTGGGAATGTAGTAACCGTAGCAATTCATCCTCCCACTCTCTCTCGCTGTCTACTGTTGACAATAAAAATGACAAACAATAGTGCAGCATTTCATTCAGTCCAATCACAGCATCACTGGCACTTGACTTCTGAATGATTACTTTATGCAAATGCAGCTGTTTTCGAGGGTGACTTTTCATCAAAAGTGACTTCTCATTATATTACCTCTGTTTAACATATTTGAGCTCAAACACAATTGTACAGAAGAGTAAACAGAGATGC